ACTATTCGCGAGTCCATCCGAGCGTACCGACTGTGACCGTAATAGTCCGCATCTACTGGTCTCTTGCTTCGAGTTAATTCGCACCAGGTACGATCGCGCCAACGTGTTTTAATCGTCGGATCGACTGCTTGATTAAAATGAAACTGTTTCGTTCCTCTCGTCATCGTGAAAAGGTTCGTTCTCTGTTATAGACTTGTAGAACGAATGAAAGTGGGGAGGGAAGAGAGTGTGTGTGAGAAAGAGAGAGAGAGAGAGAGAGAGAGAGAGAGAGAGAGAGACAATTTCGATTGCTACGTTCGATACTAGAAAATTTGAGTCAATGAATTTGCCAATACCGAAATCTCGGTCGGTACGAAAGTGACTAGAACTTATTGAATGCATTCCAACGGGAGTTGAAATAGACATTTATAAATATTATAAACACTTTTTATATAGAATAATTTTTCTCTTTTATATTTATTCGATTATACGAGATATATGGTTTAATATGTATCTGATAGGATAACATCGACAAGTTAAATATATATACATTTTTGTTCAAACATTATTTTCATTCATTCAGAGAGACGGAAAAAAGTGTTGGTGGTTGGTATCTTTGAAAGATTATATCTAAAATGAAAATGAAATAAATTTGTTTCTTTCGCATTTAACACGCGTGAAAGATTAAATCTCGAGTATATAATCGATTGTTGGTAACCAAAATTGATCTATGTTTATCATTTTTTTTTCTTTTTCTTTTTTTTTTTTTAGTTTACACTTTAATTCCCAAGAGTATAATTTCAATCATTCACGTATAATATCGATCGTCTACGTTTATCATGCATTTATTTTTGTATTCGTTGGGTTCGTTTAAATGGTAGTTACACAAGTATATACATAGATTTCCCTAATAGCGTTACCTAGTACAATTTAATGGTAGCGGAACTATAAATTATATCCGTCGTATATCCTCCCCCAATGCAATTTCTCCCGTTAGTCCTCCTTTCCTATAGCTCCGACGATAATCGGAACTACACGATAACGCACGCTAACGTAGTTATCGAATTGACTTCTGCAAGTACCAACGCTAGCTTAATTGCGTTGGCACTTGGGATGATCTAACGTAGAGCATCCATATTCATGCGTAACTGATTCAAGCATAATCACGATATCGATTACATGCTTACGATCAATCTGCACCTTTGTGGATACAAGATTTATGAAATGACAGTTGATGTATCTCATTCATTCGACACAAATGTATTCTATTCCGATAACGTGGACGTCGAAACTCTTCCCATCGCGTCGCGTGATGTTATGTTATGTTATGTTATATTATGTTAGGTTATATTATGTTATGTTGTGTTATGTTATGTTATGTTATGTCGCCTTCCGTAACCCACTATAGAAACAACTTTCGAATCAGTTTAGCTCGTACTCTGAGACTCTTGGGAAAAATTCGTATCGACTTTGACATTTATTTTCCTTTTTCTTTCTTTGCTTTTCTTCTTCTTCTTCTTCTTCTTCCTCGTTTTCTTTCTCTCCTTTCGTACTTCATTTTTTCCTCGTCGCAACTTTTATCTATATTTTTCAAATGTGAAAGCAAAAGAAAGCAAGATACACGTTTATCGTTCAAATTGTCGTATCATTTACTTCGCGTTATCATTTCCACGCAATCGTTCTATAGCTTTCTAGCACTTTAACGGATATCGTTCGATATTACAAAAGAAAACTAATACTCGGGAAATCTTTGCTCGTCTCTCTCGTTCAGATTTACAATTACCGTGACGTTCTAATCATGCATCTCGAACACGTGATGTATGAATTATGGTTACACGCTTGTCGTGCATTTAATGCGATAAGACCAAGCGTTTCCATTGCGTCCGTCATCCGTCCTGTTTGATATCGATATCCGAATACAATTTCGAGAACTATCATTATCGATCTCCGTTACGCGTTTAACTGTAGAAACATTAACGAAAATTATTCCTAAAATTAATAAATGTTATATTGTATGTTCAGAGTACCATTTAAGTATCGAGATTTTTATATACATTTCGTTTATAATCAACTAAATCAATTTCTTTCGTATTGATTTTCTTTTTTTCTTTTTTCTTTTCAATTAATATACTTTGAAAATATGCAATTATTAAAAGTATATTTGATTATTGATATAAGCCAGCCTTAATTAAAATTTCATTAAGAAGTACCTGCGTTCGTTTAAAATCAAAGACAATATATTCGTATGACTTATGCAATGAGAAACCTTCGCTCGTTCATCGTTAATTACAACGTGCTATATGCGTAGCATAACTCTCTCTCTCTCTCTCTCTCTCTCTCTCTCTCTCTCTCTCTCTCTCTCTCTCTCTCTCCCTCTTTCTCTCTCCCGCTATTTCTCTTCTATCGTGAATGCTTTCAGGAACGTTATAAATATTTGAAAGCTCAACAAACAACTAGAGTGTAGATCATTTTCGATTATCGATTTTCGTTACAGCATTCTTGCGAAATTATGCCGGTAATTGGTTCCATTTTGCGATAAAGTTCGGTGATACATCGCGTAAATTGTCTCCATAGCTATGTACGTCGTTACGACATATTTATGGCACCGCTCGTGTAACTTTGTTCTAGCTCTCTTATTCTCTCTATCTCTCTTTCTCTCACTCTTTCTCTCTATCTGTCTCTCTCTCTCTCTCTCTCTCTCTCTCTCTCTTTCGTTCTAAACTAATTACATTCGAAATTAATTTTTTACTCGTTTACGAATCCTTCAAAAAAAAATTAATATCACATGCAATGCCAACAGTAAAACATAAATTGAAATATGCAAAAGTAATCGGATTTTTTTCAGAACCCTTTGACAAACACATTTTTATTCGCACGACGATTATTATCTTTTTGAGAAAAAAAATGAAAAGAAAAAACTTACCTCGTCGTTATTAGTTCAAGTGGTTTTTGTCGTATTAAAGTATTAAAGTATGTCGGCACAATGATGAAATTCGTCAGAATCAACAGAATTTTCTTACATCCGGTAATAAATATAAAATGTAGTCCCTTTCGATTTCACTGAGAGATATATTGTTGGTTAACTGTCGAATCAAGTTATAAGAGTTGTTATTCTCAGAAATTCATTTTATGCTTAAGATATTATAAGATATGACAATAAAAAATTATGATTAGATATATAATAACAATGTCCATACGTGATAAGATATCATTGACATATGAAAAAGTTAAATATAGAAAATAATATTGCAGTCTCATACATGATATTTACTTGTTCATCAATCGCTTATCTTTGATATTCTACTTCGTCAATGCATTAATACAATACATATATTATCATCCAAAAATTAGTTTCATTCATGGTAAATTCACTCATATTATGTTTGTCATAGCGCGATGTTGACGGTATGCATCCGTGGCGTAGCATTGTCGATAATTTGAAATTTTCATATGTTGGATCTTTGTCGAATGTTTTCGGCAGGTAACTAACTATACTCCTCTCGCTCGTTCACCTCTCGTTGCCCGCTGATTTCGATCGATAATGAATTCATTAAATGTGTTTCGGATGCAACACGAGGCTCGTTCACCATTAGCGCGCTGGACATTTCACCCAACGCCTCGGGTCTTTGAGGGTTAATTGCGGACATGTTGCGGAATTCCATTAATCGAAACGGCTTTCAAGGCTCCTCTGGTATTTAAACTACACGTTCGCATGCTATATTCGTGGCTGATATATAGCCCTATCGCGGCTTCCCTCTTGGCCAACGTATCTGTTGAATATAAATAAGTAAACTCATTGGAATACATATTTGTCCTAAGTCGGTTAAATTGGTAAATTTTCGTCTTTGATGACTATCTTGAAGATAAAAATTGGAAAAATGGTTATATTCAAAGTCAATAACGAAAAAGTATAAAGTGAGAAACAAAAAAAAAAACAAAAAAAAAACCAATGTAAATGCAATGTTCTTTCGCTTTATGGCATGTTAGCCTATTACTCGGACATCTTTACCTACATTGTCGTTTTCTCGTTGGCCAACGTAGGAAAAGAAGATCAAGAGCTATGTAACAAATCGATTTCGATCAGATGAACACTGGCTCTCTCGTTCTTTTAAATCGATCGGTAAGAAAAAGTCTGAGGGACTCGGATGGACAACATTGCTTGGACGTTCGTATCTTTGCTACTTGTTTCGTCCATCCGCCAAGGAAGGAAGACGAAAGCAGTCGACCAAATCGAATGGAAACTCGTTTCTCGGGAATAGCCTACCGGAATTTACGAAGGAATTGGCCTCCTCGTACGATCTGACCCTCGAGGTTTCCACTTGCATCTTGACCATACCGAGCACACTACCTCTTCCTCTTTTTCTTCCCTTCTCTCTTCTTATACAGACGCCTTTTTCACGATCAACGTCGCACAGCGTCCGGTACAACTTCCCAATCCTGCATGGTTTTACGGTAACATCCTTGCGTTCCAAATGGTTTCATGGTAATCCTCCCCCTACTCTTCTTCCTTCTCCTACTCCTCCTATTCCACTCTTCTTTCGATTCTCTTGTGGAAATGAAATTTCATAAGCTGCTCCTCTTAATCCTATCGTAACCCGAGCGGTTTGCGTTTTACATATCCGCCGTGGCGATCCTCATTGAATTGCAGACGCATCGGAATGCCTGGATTTCTGAAATCGAAGGACGCACAGCAAGCGTCCGCAGGAAATCCGGGTTACTCTTGTGTAAGCTTCGCCGACTACCGAATTCAGGAAATTGACTCCCGAGCTTACGCTTCCTCCCTTTATCCCACTCCTCCTTTCATTCCTTTCTCTCTCTCTCTCTCTCTTTTCGTCCTTATTCTTCCTCCCTATACATGTCCTTACGTACGATCACCTAAACTGGTACTATACGTATATTGTTTAATCTTTTCTATCTCAATCACGTTATAATATATATCCCTATTTTCGACTACTACCAAAAACTTCAATTATTTCTTACTGACTGTATATATTTTGTAAAAAAAAGTATTTGTTTTTCAGTTCCATTGGTCAACATCAGCGTTGTTGAAGGAAAACAAGTGGAATTACCATGCGATATTACTCCTCCAGGAGAGGACACTCTACACATGGTTTTCTGGTTTAAAGATGAAGCCGGAGTGCCACTCTATACGTGAGTATTATAATTATATTATTATTATATCGAAGGTATAAACTAAATGAAATACTTTCGAATAAAATAATATCAGTTATATGTTATATTTCAATCGTAATTTTCATTTATTATTTTGAAACTATAAATAGCTTTGATTGAATTAAGTATATCAATTATCATTAATTCAGAATATTTTGTAACATAATTTTAGCAACAACAAAAAATGTAAAATATATTTAATAGAATTAGTCGGGAAGCCGAAGTGAAAATTTTACTTTTCCAAGGTTGACAATTTCCAACGAACTCATTCGTAAAGCTTTCCTGGTCCGCACGGTGACTAGGAAAAATGTCGAGTACTTTAGGAATCTACGGTTCTTCGACTAATATGCAATAAACTACCCTCTTCTCGTGTGCCTCGGCCAAGATTTTCTAAAGCGCGTTACATCACTACTGCACCATGATGCGAAGAGTATATGGTGCCACCGTGCCGTTATTAAACGTACGTCACCGTACTTCCCTACGTTGCCTTTAATGCTTTTCGCCCAAAATTCCTTTTCGCATTCCAAAGAACATTACCGTTTACGGTATTGCATTTATTAAATGGTTTTCTATCACTCTTTGTTTCTTATTTTTCATAAATTCCATTGTTTTTCTTTATAAAACTGCATGAAACTCAATTAACATCCATTATGAAATGTAAGAAATATTTTATGATTAAAATAAATTTTTATTTGCTTAAAAATTATTATAAATGTTCAATCAACATTCCATCATCACTTCATGATAAGAAAATAATTAATTAAATGCACTCGTTATATATTTTATATTATTTTTTCTACGGAAAGATGCAACGATCGTACGATTAACGATTAATCTCCCGACTCTCGAGAGTAATCTCTTAGTACGTTTCAACGTTCATGCGTATGTGCACGAAGATTACTGTATCTGTTTTACAAAAAGATGCATTTTCTTGTTATCTTACTTTCGTAATCTTTTTCCTTTATTCTTTTGGTTCTTATTTAAACTTCTGGTTCTTATTTTTGTCTGGTATTATAAATGAGTTAATGGAATACAAAAGTAAAAAGTATATCAAAGAAATCCAGTGACTATAGTATTTAATGGTCGTCTGTTCTTGCAATACTTGTTGTAGGATGTATTGAGTCGTAGAAAATGTAGAAACATAATCTTTCTTAATTATTTTTATCTATTAACTTTAACATACTTATATTTTTTATATTATAATATTTTATAGAAAACTATATATAAGTGCCTTTGTATAAAAAAAAATAATTGCAAAATGATTTTATTTCATTATTTAATATCTATAAATTGCAAAATTTTCATTTTTCGTACATTTACGAGAGAAACACACCAGCGTTACAATTGGATATAACAATTTTTCAAACGAATACGCATAACTCGAATTACTTTTATTGATGATATTTCGCGAAAAAATTTGTTTCAATTTATCACATTTATATCTTTCGTTCCATATATTGCTTACGAGTTCAAAAATTGTATCAGAAATGAATTTTTAATCAGAAAATAAAAGATAGCACATGAATGTAAATTTTGAATAGAACACAATTAAATAGAATACATTTAGATATTATTTATTAATTTCTGTTAATAGTTTTTTTTTTTTAAGAACATTTAAACGTTACAACAATAAAAATACGAGAATCGAAATTTTAATTAACAGTACTGTAAGTTCTGTAAATGATCGAAAATAAAAGAGTAAATCGAATACCAGAGAGAAAAAGAAAGGGTTGATGTTGAATAACATTTGGTATAAGAGAACTCGTTTGTCGAGAAATAAAAAGAAAATAAGAAGACACGTAAAAAAAAGGGGTTCGATGAATGTAATGAGAATTGCAATAGGGCACAATCAGCCAACGTGGCATGTAATTACAACGTGTCGATAAATATCAATCGGTGATAAACGAAGGAGAATACAGGGATCGGAAGAAGGAGGAGGAGGAGGAGAAGGAGAAAGGAACCGAGTCTGACATTTCCGAGATTCTTGCTGATAAGTTCATCAGATAATTAATAACCGCGTTCCGATGTTCTCCGTTGTTTCCTTCTCGTCGTTTTAGGCAGCGTCAGCATTAGTGTCGTTGTATCTATGTCAGAGTTGTAACGTCAGAGAATCAAGAAGAGTATTGACCGCTTTTTCGCTCTTTCGGTAATCGTCTCTTTAAAGAGAAGCAATTAATTAGCACTCCAGCTAATTATCTTGCTCGTCTGTCTATTTTAATTAAATGCGAACCAGCGTTTACGTATTTTTCCTATCTTTAAGATCTAAATTACTCCTCTGTCGTTAAATATAATGTAATCATTAAAATATCTTTAGAATAATTTTAGATTCTCAGGAAAAAACATTTCATAAGCATTAGATTATATATCGATTGAAATATTATATAATAATTATATTTAACTAATTACATTTCGTTTAACTAACAAACGCATAAGTTTCCTTACAACAATTCATTAAATATGAAATATTATTGTCTCTATAAATTCCCACCACCCGTCCAGCCCCTTTCCCGATCTAAATTTATTTCTCTAATTGTCAGAGCAAAATAAAGGATTAATTCTAGAGCCGTATGACCGAGTTGAGCACAGCTGTTTCTCGTAATCCATCCATCTATTACTTTCTACGATGCCTTGAACAAAAACATTAGCTCGAGAATTATGGATAATTATGGAATAAATTTCCTACGATTCGATAATACGTCAGGATTGAACGTTCTTCCATGCTCTAGACGTTTCCTCGGGTAGTAAGATAAAAACGAAAATTCTCCGTCAAATGGACGCGAAGATAATGGCGGTTGGAAACGGAGAAAGAAAGAAAGAAAGAAAGAAGGAAAGAAGGAAAGAAGGAAAGAGGAGAGAAACCGAAGGAAAAGTCCCACGTTGTAAGTTCCATTGGGAAGGATAAATAACTCAGCTATGCTCTGAGAATGTAAAAAAGAGAAAAGATTGGTTGTCCTACTGTTTGAAAATAGAAGGAAAGTAGAAGGAAGAGGCTAAAAAGAAGATGAAAAAAGAATGGACGGAAAGGAAAGGATGTAGACGGCAAAATTTGTTCTTCGAAGAATTTCACTTGACGAGATGCGTTCCGAATTCAGCTTTAGCACACCCACCGCAAACCGACGTGAAACCGCAACTTCATGGAGCACGTCAAAAAGAACACCACAACCGCTGAAGCAACACAAATTCCTACTTATTCTCAATGTTAGACAACTTTTTAACATTGAACCAAATAATTTGCCGTTATGGTCCCGCGTGTTTCTCTAAACTCCAAAGTCATCTTTCAGATTTTTATTGTATTTTAGCTTTCTACGATTAACAATCTTAGCGTGCATCGAATCTATTTAATATCAAGAGAAAGAGAGAAAGAAAGTGAGATGTTGAGACTGAGACAACCAGGGAAACATGGCACGTTCATAGAATCTACCGATGAAATACGTTTTAATCTGAAACAGTTGCATATTGTTGCTAAAATAGAAATGTTCTCCCGTTTTAACGATATCAACTGCTGCCGCGTGTTTCGAGATGCAACTAACTATAAATCGTTCTCGTTACGATCTCAGTACACGTACCTACATAGTTATACGTGTATACATATATACAATACATACGAGTGTGCCAGTGGCACGAAGCGAGCATGCCACGAAGTCTCTATCGATTCGATAACATCGATGAAACAGAAAGGGAGAGAGAGAGAGAGAGAGAGAGAGAGAGACAAGGAAGAAAGAAAAAAGCCAAATGGAAAATATAAAACGATACTTTGGGAATTCCAAGTTAACGATAGTTTTAAATAAAACTTCTCTTACGTTCGGGTAAAAGATCTCGCATAGGAATTACTTCATGAATAGAAGAACGCATAGAGTTTGTATTTCACGCGTGTAACTTTAGAAATACATACGTATATGCAAATGAAGAGTTTGAGATCAATAATAGAGTAAAATCGTAAGAAGACAAAACGATTACTGTCATAACTTATTTTCAAATATAAGGCAAAGCTGCTTTGCAGTTTATGCTGCAATTGCTGATAAATTTCGATAAAAATAAAAGTTCCAAAATATTCAGTATATTTAATAGTACGTATATATGCTTAAACGTAATCAGTAGGGTGATCGAGGACCGAGTTTCGAAGGTCGCGCAAGCATTTAACCCTTTGTTTATCGGTTTCATCTTATTAAGGAAGTATTTCGATTCTCGTCGTGGACATATCAATGTTGCGTGCGTGCAGAGAAGCTCTAATTATAACATACCATGCGAGGAAGGCTCGGTATGCCAACTATGCCTCTATCATAGACCACGAGCGGCAACCTGTAAACCGATACGTTCACCACCATCCAAGCTATTTGCAAACGTTGTGCACTCTCATCGATGCTACTACACTTCTATGTTCTCCCTCTATATATATATGATATACATATTAATGTATTATGTATAAAGGCTAACTCTGTAAGGTTATCAGATATGTACGCGGCTACTAACCTTTGTCGACGTTAACACCTTTGTTCACAATTCAAACGTATTTAATTGACAATTATTTTAATTTTTATCTCTTCTCAAATAATTTACCTTTGCTAGTTAATTAACAGATAAACAGTTTAACAACAGATAGACAATTTAATTTTATATGCAGAAACTCAAAAATAACCACGGAAATGATCAAATAATCGTGTATGCTTCAACAAGAAGATATTCCTGCTACTATTCCATTATTAAAAGATTATTTCACTATCCACCACACACATTGTGTATTTTATTATAATAGTTAATTAATGTAGAAACCGTGAAAAAAGTTGGGTTGTTTGGGTAGCATTGCGAATCCAGTTCTTTCGTTTTCCGGAAAAGCTACTTTGAATTCCTAAACAATTCAGGTTTTTGGACCAACCTGTTCCCAAATGTCTACTTAAACTTAAAGGAATGGAGATGTTTCGTTCCTCCCTCCCCTTAATGAGACCCGTCTTCTTTTATTCGCAAATAAAATAATAGTTCGT